ATCGAAACAACTCTGGCATGCTTCTTGTCTGTTTTGAGAATATATTGAAGAAGGATCCAACATGTAGTGATGCCTTAGCCAAACTAATCAAGATGCACCAAAATGGTACCTTCATTCTCAATCATGTCTTTTGTATGATTTGAATAATTTATATCGCTATTTCTCTCAAGTTGAGTCCAATGTCAACTTGAAAAGAGATGGAGAAAGAAGTTAATGAAAGAAAAATGGGGGATTTAGAAATATTTGCTCTGATAATTTCTTCTTCTGTTACAGACTAAGCGATATCTTATATGCTTAATAATACATGATGTCTATGTTGTTGATTGGATTCCTTGGTACTTTGCAGGAGAGTATAGTCTTGAGTCTATGCTGGAAATGATTGCTTTACATTTAGATGCTACAGATTCAGAACACAATACGTGGAAGGTGTTATCTTCATGTTTCTTAACACTGTATTCCTACGAAGAAGACTGTATGTCTTCATGCCCCATGCAAACTAAAAATGGACACAAGCAACTTCGTTCCTTTGACAAAACCCCTAAAATATTTACGGATGGTACATCGGGAAAATCTTGGTATCTTCGCTGTAGGTGGTGGATAACAAGACATTTCAGCAATAGCAAGCTAGAATCAGAGATTGAATCAGGTATAATCATATAATTGGAATGGTTTGACCTCGTGTTAAGTGACAGTGAAGTTACAGTATCAGTGTCTATATAAACTTCACTAGAAATATTGTTGCATGTTCATTCACTATTGTTTTATTTTTTAGTCATGCTAATGAATTTTCTTGAATTGTCTCAGGTGATTTGCAGTTACTCACATGCAAAGCAGCATGTGCATCGTACATGTATGGACGCGAGTTCAGCTATGTTGAGAAGGCTTATTCTCATTTAGAGAAAGAAAATGATAAAGAGTTGTTGTCTTTCTTGGATAAGCACAGGGGAAATTCATTAGGAATTTATAAAAAATTTCGAAAGAAATTAAACATATAATATAGTAATTTAATTATATTTGCTTCCTTGATATCAGTTTCTTGGATGACGTCTTTCCCTTCAACCTTTAAAAATGGGAGGATCAGATAAAAGTTTAGATCACAAAACAAATAAAGTAGCACCGTTTAAATTAAAGTAAACTTAACAAAGCATACAATCTCATAAACAACTCTTTGAATATTATGCAAAAGTATCATGTAAATAAATAAATTAAACATATTTATTATTTCTTAAAGGTCACAAGACATTTAAGTAATTATAAATTTTGATAATTTGGCAATGTTCGAATGAGCTTGAATATATGTTAGGTTAACTCTTCGTGTATTAACTTAATCTGGCTGACTTATTAGTTTAAAATAAAGAGCACGAATCCCATAATAGCTTATTTGGTCTCTAGTTTTGTTTAAATTTCTCAATTACGTCCAACCTTTGAAAAAAATGTTAAATGCGTTCTCATTTTGTAATTTTTGCATCAATGAAGTCCTTTCTGTTAAATATAAATAAACAGAGTTAAGAGATTAATGATGTGGCAGAAAATAGTGTTGATGTGTTTGTAGATATATTTGTGCTTATTGTTAGTGATTAGAGGTTGGCGTGAAAAGTAATTCACCCTTCACGCTCCATGGTCTTGATTTCATTTTCTTTCACTTTCTTTACTAAAAAAAAGTAACACTTAGATTCATCACTCCTAGTAACACTCAGATTCATCACCCAATATCACTACCTTCACTCATACCTTAGAAAATCCTCATCATCCTCGTATAATCACTTACACGTTCAAACCCAGCCAAAATAGAAAAAACCAAAATAAAGAAACATCGATCAAAGAACCACCTCGAAATCGAAAACTAAAACTTCATAATCGCTAATCGTAAAAACAAAACAAGATCAGAAACCCTAAAATGACCAAGAACACAAGAACAAAACTCTTGACCGAGAAATTCCCAAAATCAGAAACCACTTATGAAACGTGAGAAACAGAAGCTCCAATTCAAGCCCTAACATGTAGAGAAGCACAAAATCCCAACTCGAGATCAAATCAAAGACTCAAGATTTCCGAAATTCAGAAACCCAATTTCGACAAAACCCCAAGGTTGTCATTTTGAATGGCAATGATGCTTCCCCTACAATGAAACCACAAAACCAGAAGAAATTTTTGGGAAAGAAGAAGCGTTCTTGCAAAGCCCAAAATCGAAACCTTTAGTCACAAGCCCTGTTGTCGCGAAACCACCTGAGAACGGAGGCCACCATACCGCAAACGCAAGCCCACTCTTCTCCACAACGTTGCCATCAAACAGGGCTTCTCGCATTGTGAAGACGTCGACAACCATGGCTTGGCCGCGATAGTGGCTTGTGCGGGAGAGCATCATTGACGGTGCCGGTAACCTCGTCAGTTAGTGTCGTTGAAGCTATCAAATTAATACTACTTTTCAAGGCAACTTTAGTATTGCCAAGTAGTATTCAAGAAGGTAGATAGGGCTAAAGTAACCCTGAGTCGTCTCCCAACGAACACAGAATTGCTTTTGAATATTTGACTCTTACGAATGCTATGCAATGCTTATGGATAAAGGTGATGTTTGGAGAATGTTTAAAGAACAAATAAGAAACTTAAAAATAGTTACGATGAAATAGGCTAATTCCACTGCTTTTCCAAGGTAGATTCGTCATCGGTTATTCACGGATAATTGTTCAATTGATTATTGTTTAAGTTTTAAATTAATTAAAGTACATTCTTAATTAATTTGAGGGCGATCATGCATTTAACCAAAGTAAATTCTCAATCAAATGCAAAACCTTTCTAGATTATTCACAATAAATTCAACCAAAGTACATTCTCAATCAAATTCTATTGTGTTTAATCATGTCTATTCTTAAATCTCCTAACCAAATTAAAAACTAATCAATCAAAGTAAATTCTCAATTGATTATAGTTGAAATTATTACTAATCAATCAAAGTACATTTTCAATTGATAGTAAAAACCATTTAATCATATGAAAGTTCCTAAATTAAATCAAAGTAGATTCTCAATTTAAACCTAGAAACCCTAAAACTCATATAATCAATATGCATGTAGATTCAAACACATTATGATGCAAAAATCTTTGCTTTTAACAAGATAGAGAGATGAAAGACTTAGAGAGAACAACTTAAATCAATAATCAAAGTAAACAATTGCATTAACTGAACGTAACCTCAGAATCCGTCATGGAATTACAGCAGAATAGCCTTAAATGCTTAGCTCTCCATGAATGGAGTTGAATACAAGATGAAAGAAAAGTGAGAGGAGTATGAGAGAATGAATGAAGTGAAGTCCCTTTTTCTGCATCCCTTACTCCCTTTTATAAAGGCTTGATTGGGCTTGGACTCTGAATAGTTTGTTGATAAGATATTTTCTGTTGATATATTATATCTTTCAAATATTCATTAGATTAAATCAGTTTTAAAGAATATTTGATAGATATTAACTCAATTATCTTATATCATATATCTTCCAAATAACTAAAAGATTTAGATAATGATAAAATTATTTGGAAGATATTTTCTGTTGATATTCCCAAATTAAATTCAACAACTGAATTTTATCTTTTAGATTTTCTGACTTTCCAAAATTGCACAAATACCCTGAAATTTCATCTATCTGCACTTTAGCCCCTTCTGAATTTTCCAAATAAAATCTGTTTTGGGCCTTGAATTGCCATTTGGACCAATAAAACTTATATTCTCAGCTATACAAATAAACATTAGAACATCCAAGAATAATTTATGCACTAAAACTCACTTTTTACGTCTCTTTATTTCCCAAACCCAACAATTCCAATCATTACAAATTCACTTAAAATCAAGCATTTAAGCACAATTATCCCATCAAAAATTTGAATTTTAAAGCATAAATGTGGGCATAAATATGCACTCATCAGTCGACAACCATGGCTTGGCCGCGATAGTGGCTTGTGCGGGAGAGCATCATTGATGGCGCCTGTAACCTCGTCAGTTAGTGTCAGAGCTTACCTCAAGCGCGCACAAAGGGAGGAGCGCCGTAGTGGCTGGCGGTGTCTCTGGCGACGATCGGTGCCGCCGACCATAGTTTTGGCCAGCCAGCGGAGGCACGACAACGTTGGAGGGCAGAGCTGCAAGGTGGAGAAGAGACCTTCTGAAAAAGAGAAAAAATAAAGAGGGCTTGGGCCTAAGCCAAAAAATACTAAGTGCACCCCTAAATTCCATCTCTGCACCCATTCACTAACACGTCAGCATAAATATACTTACAAAGTAACACGTCTTTTGTCACATCATTATTCTCTTAACTCCGTTTATTTGTATTTAACGAAACGACTTCATTGATGCAAAAATTACAAAATGAGGACGCATTTAACACTTTTTCAAAGGTTGGACGTATTTGAGAAATTTAAGCAAAATTAGGGACAAAATAAGCTATTAAGCCTAATTAAAAATTCTGATAATTTTGGCAATGTTCGAATGAGCTTGAATACATGTTAGGTTAACTCTTTGTGTATTCACTTAATTTGGGTGACTTATCAGTTTAAAATAAGAGCACAAACCCCATAAATTATAATTTAGACTCCTACTAAAATTTCAATCCCATTGATACATTTCATAACTTCTTATATTGTACTCATACAAAATAATGTCACCTTCTCAGTAACTACTATTTCATACTAAAAACAATGATTTCGTCTCATTTCATAACATCCACATTAACAACATCATCTAGTTTCTTTAGTAAAACTTTGCAACTATAGGATATATTATTATATTATGATTTTACAATATTTAAATAATTAAAAACTAGTTTACTTCATAAAAAAAATAGGAAAATATCTAGATTTAGAGGCTTTCCTCTTACCATTTTATCACTTGAGCAATCTACATTTCACTTAAACAATATATACAAATAAAAAGTTGAATAAAATCATCAAAATTAATTAAGTTAAAACTTTTCGTACACTAATGTGTATTATACATTTTCATTTAACACAATCATAATAGTGTGTCACTGATCAATGGTAACTCATATAGAAGATTAAAACCATAAATGCAACAAAGAGGAGGTCACATGTAAACCAAAAAACATTTGGCCAAGGGAAAAGGAGCACAAATTCAACTTACTCAAAAGAAGAAACTGATCGAAAAGAAAGGAGTTTGCCAAGAGGATCACTTTAGTGGTCTCTGATCTTCATACAAATGAACAAAGAGAGAGAAGTCCTAGAAAGAAGTTAGAGAACTATAAAAAAGTGGTTTACAGAGAGATCGTGTAAGTTTAACATAATGAAACTCATTTATAATACAAAATATTTAACTTATACCCTTTTAATATTAAAATTATCGAATATCGCTATTTTTAAACCACTATCAATTATAAAATATCATTTTCTTGATTCTCACTGTTAGTTCCAATAATTCATTAAATGTGTAACTTTTAATTTTATTGTGTATTCGATTTTTATTTTCTTGAAATTAAGTATTTTTGTCCACTATCAATTGTCATGATGAAGTATTAACTTATTAATTAAAACTATGTGTTAAAATTTGTCCTTAAAATTAGTATAATGTTTTATTGAATAATTAACTTACATAATTGTTATTACTTTTGGAATGTACACTGTTCAAAAAATTGGATTTTATTAATGACTTATTATGACATGTGATATCCACTTGTCATAGTAAATTGACTAGTGACATTTTTGTAATAAAAGAATTATTATAACTAGTAAAAGAAAATTTATCATAATAAGTTCAACATTAAAATTTTTGTAATATAACTAACATTTATTATGAATAGTAAAAGAGGATCTGTCATCATTAGTCGAAAGGGAAAACTTATTATAACATGTGAAATCCACATGTCATAGTAAGTTGGATGCGGTGGCAAAATTGAAATAATGTTCACAACTTATTGTCAAAGTCATATTGCGAAATGGTTAGCGTGTACAGCAAACCAAGAGGGGGGAGAATTGGTTTGTTATCGCAAATAATACTTTTAATAATTTTCTCGTAAAATATAAATTTCTTAACAACAATTTAAACAAATAAAAAAGTAAGGAAGAGAGAAAATTGCACAAGTGATTTTTATACTGGTTCGGATAACATAGATCCTACGTCCGGTTGTTAATCTCAAATGAGAATTAATTCTTCACTATCACAAACCAACAAACTATTACAATCACAAAGAAAATAAAACAGTTTAAGGTTAGGACACCTCTTTTGTTATCCCAAGAGATGAAACTCACTTCCTTTTAAACCCACAAGGGATGAACACCTCTTTTGAATATTCACAAATGATGAACACCTCCTTTGAATCTTCACAAAGGATGACAGACTTTCAACTCAACAACAACAATAACACTTAATCACAACTCTCATGAAAGTTCTCGCTTTATACCAACACCAAGTTCTAAAAGTCAAACCACAAGGGTTACACAAACCTTAGAACACACTTATCAAAGTACACAGCTAAAAAGATAAGATTTTCGAAATAAACATATTTTGTATTCTTTATTTTTAGAATGAGAGTCTCATTCCAATTTATAGAGATCTCACTTAAGGATATCTCCAAAAATCCGTTATCAACTAATTAGCGTGTGATAATCGATTATCCACTTATGGTAATCGATTATGCATTTAATGAATGCACAACAGGGGGAAAACCTTGCTTAAAAATTCTCACAATTGCTTGTGATAATCAATTATGACAAGTCATAATTGATTACTGATAATCGATTATTATAAGTTGATAATCGATATTATCTTGAGTAAAAAATGATGTTTTCTTATTCAAAATGAATTTTAACGCAACCTAAGGCAAACAATATATAGAATCTAAAGATAAACCACATCCTATACATAAATCTATTAAATTACAAAAACTTTAAGACTAGACAAGTCAAAGATCTTTTTGCAAAAAGAGCATTTGAGACTTGACTTTGAGATATCATCAAAACTTTTTTCTCTTCAGCTTTATACTAACACTTATTATGCTAAGTTTTGGAAATTTTGTTATAATAAGTATTTATAACTAGCTCAATGATAGTGTGATAGTATGTCCAAATCCCTAATTTCACTCTTACTTCAATTCATTCCAAGCAACTTCTTTGTTTCTCTTCATGGTCACTCCCACAACGTTGTTTCCAAGCCGTCAACGTCATTGCCTCCTCACGTTGTTGACATCGTTGCCTTCATGCTGTTGTCTCTCATATGTCGTCGATGGAAGACGTTGTCATCTCCCACTGATTTATATCTTCTCTATGTTGTTATTATCTGTTCATAACTATCTCTATCTATGTATTCTCTGTTTTCGTTTGGACAATCAAGTTTTATCTCCTTCCTTCACTTATTGTTTGATATGTTGTATTTGAGAATGATTGCTTGAACTTCAAAGTAGCAACACACTAGTAAAAAAAGGAGTTTCTAACGCGCCATATACGCTTCGGTGTCGTAAAAACCGAAGCGTATAGAAGGACGGTGATAGTTTAGTAATAAAAGCCAAGGTATACGCCTCGGTTCTCCACTAACTGGTGCCTAAAGCAGTAACTACCTCGGTATCTAAGTGAACCAAAGCATATAACTCTGCGATATTCCCCATACTTCCTCGGTTTCCCCTAACCGAGGCGTATGCTTTTTTAATAAATTTTTTTTAAGGCATTAGGCATCGGGTGGCAGCACAACCGAGACAGTAGGCTGGATATTGCCTCGGGTTTTTGGGAACCGAGTTAGTAGGCCTCGGGTTTTTGGGAACCGAGTTAGTAGGCCTGGTCTAGGGCAGTAAAAACATATGCCATTGTTTTTCTTCTTCGCGTGTTTCCCCTGCATTGCTGCCTCCACACAACTACGCTGCTTCCTCCTTTGCTGCCTCCAACCACTTCAGACGTTTCTGCGTTTCTGCTCCCTACGCCGCCTCCTCCCTACGCCGCCTCCTCGTGGCGCATCATCTCCTTGATCGAGCAGAAGGAAGAGCCGCGACAACGAGGATCACGTCACCGTCATCCGCGACTACCGATCCAAGGTCGAGTCCGAGCTCTCCAACATCTGCGATGGTATTCTCAAGCTCTTCAACTCTCGCCTTATTCCCTCGGCTTCCTCCGGCGATTCTAAGATCTTCTACCTCAAGATGAAGGGCGATTACCACAGGTTCCAACATCAGGTTCAACCTTTTTTTCCCTTTCAATTTCTTTTTTTTTACTGATTTCTTGATTCAGATCTATTCATGAGGTTGAAAGTAGGGGAAGGGGGACTAGCGGGGGTCTGATAGTGAAAACTAACCCAATGGCCGGAGGCAGAGTCGACGGTGGAAGCGTCGGACTCGTCGCACTCGGGGATGGTGGAAGTCGCGACGTGGTGGTGGCGCGAGGGACTGGAGGGGGTGGAGGTGGCGAAAACAGAGTGGCGGAAGGAAGCGTTGGAGAGGGAATCAAAGTCAGCCTTGCGCTTGGAGGGGTGATAGGGGCACTGTTGGATATCCTTAGAGGAGGAAGGTTGGCAGGGATTGAAGTTATGTTGCGGATGAATGGGATGAGAAAGGAATAGGGGTTTGCGTCAATGCGAGTGGGGCTGGGGAAGATGAATTGGGGAGAAGGAAGGAGCTGTCTTGTTTGTGGAAGAGGTTTTGAGGCGCGGAATCCCTTATGCTTCGGAGGATAAAGAAGGGCATAAAGGAGGGTCAACCGGGTATCTTGCTTGGAAGATGATGGTAAGCAGTTGANTTTTTCTTCTTCGCGTGTTTCCCCTGCATTGCTGCCTCCACACAACTACGCTGCTTCCTCCTTTGCTGCCTCCAACCACTTCAGACGTTTCTGCGTTTCTGCTCCCTACGCCGCCTCCTCCCTACGCCGCCTCCTCGTGGCGCATCATCTCCTTGATCGAGCAGAAGGAAGAGCCGCGACAACGAGGATCACGTCACCGTCATCCGCGACTACCGATCCAAGGTCGAGTCCGAGCTCTCCAACATCTGCGATGGTATTCTCAAGCTCTTCAACTCTCGCCTTATTCCCTCGGCTTCCTCCGGCGATTCTAAGATCTTCTACCTCAAGATGAAGGGCGATTACCACAGGTTCCAACATCAGGTTCAACCTTTTTTTCCCTTTCAATTTCTTTTTTTTTACTGATTTCTTGATTCAGATCTATTCATGAGGTTGAAAGTAGGGGAAGGGGGACTAGCGGGGGTCTGATAGTGAAAACTAACCCAATGGCCGGAGGCAGAGTCGACGGTGGAAGCGTCGGACTCGTCGCACTCGGGGATGGTGGAAGTCGCGACGTGGTGGTGGCGCGAGGGACTGGAGGGGGTGTAGGTGGCGAAAACAGAGTGGCGGAAGGAAGCGTTGGAGAGGGAATCAAAGTCAGCCTTGCGCTTGGAGGGGTGATAGGGGCACTGTTGGATATCCTTAGAGGAGGAAGGTTGGCAGGGATTGAAGTTATGTTGCGGATGAATGGGATGAGAAAGGAATAGGGGTTTGCGTCAATGCGAGTGGGGCTGGGGAAGATGAATGGGGGAGAAGGAAGGAGCTGTCTTGTTTGTGGAAGAGGTTTTGAGGCGCGGAATCCCTTATGCTTCGGAGGATAAAGAAGGGCATAAAGGAGGGTCAACCGGGTATCTTGCTTGGAAGATGATGGTAAGCAGTTGATATTCGATTTTTTTTAGTAGCAGTAGTGATCTTTGAGGTTGAGTAAAGGGAGCTTCATGAGATGCTCCTCTTATGATGGCATATGATAAGATGTCCCCATATGTTTGTGTCCATCCTACTACCTGAAATATGTGTTCCAAATCAAGGTTAAGTGAATGCCAAATCTATACAGGAATTCAATTTTGTAAATATTGCCTTCCAAGTATTTGTTTTTATTTACTTGTTCTTCCTCAAACCAGGCTTTATAGGCCACTGTGGTCTCAAGTCCAATTTCCTTGGCTAATCCATTCACTAGATATCTCGAACTTGTTAATGGAATCACTGAGTCTTGATCACCACTGCATACAGAAATGACTTTGATTGCTTCATAAATGCTATGTGGAGTCAGCTAAATGTCAGGGATTAAACAAATTCAATTACTTGTATACCAGGACCCTACTAAAATCAGATGGAAATTTTTTGTGGTCTATCACTTTTCCATTTTTTCTGATCATAAATATTTGCATCTCTAAAGCCCAACATCAGTGTGCATTCAGTAGGGTCCACACATCATTGTGATTTCTCAATGTAGCTATTGGATTACACGTAAGTAACTTGCTTTTGAACTCCAATTTGGACTTGATCATTCCTTTATACTTAGCAATTTGCTCATATATTGATAACTTTTGTTCTTCTTTTTACCCCAGAATGTTGGATTCCATTGTTAAGAAGAAAAAGGGTTGTGAAAATGCTCTAAGACTATGTGTGTATGGATTGATAGACAGGTCTTTCCATATCAGTACATGGAAAATGAAATGATATTGTGCTAATCTTTTGTTTTTGAGGCAGATTTGTATACTTGGAGCACTGATTTTCTTGGTGCTTGCTTACGTATATAGTTTGTATAGTTTTAATGTGAAATGGAACAATACCAGTGGAACAACAATGTTGTACTAGATATGATGATGATGATCAATATCTTCTCTGGAATGAATTTCCTTTGTATTCGGTGCATGATGTCATACTATTGTGGAGAGAATTACTAACACCTTGCTTTTAATAAGTTTTTTTATTGATTAAAATTTATTGAAATCTAAAAATATTGAGATAAGTTTATGATGTAATTTCTTTTTTTATGATTTTATTTTCATTAATTTTTTCTTTTTAAGATTTAATTTGCTTGAAGTGATTACAGTTTTCTGCTGATTGTGATACATTTTATAGTTGCTTATATAAATTCTTAGAAATTTGATGTATATATATATATATATATATTATTTGATGTTATGATGAAATAAGTATATAGGTGCAAATAATGTTAAGAAATTACTAATTTTACAAGATTTTTATGTTTTAATAATTCTACTGCAAATAATGTTAAGAAATTGGCTAGATTTTTTTTTTGTTGAATTTTCCAACATACTGTCTTGGTTCAAAAGAGAACCGAGGCGAAAAGTCATTTAAAAAAAAAGGGGCAAAATCCTACTGTCTCGGTTACTTTTGAACCGAGGCAGAATCCTATCCCTTTTGCCTCGGTCCACAACCGAGGCAGCCTCTACCGTGTCAAAAGTGCGAATGTGGGATACCTGAAGTTAATACATTTACTGCTTCCACATGGTGTTCTTTCCCACGGTGCTCTCTCCACCAAATAGCAATGAGGGGGTGCCAGAAGAAAAGGGGAATATGAAACGTTCTTATGAATGAGAAGAAACAAAGCTAAGAATATTGAATTTGTTTACATACTAAGAATTTTATCTTTTACTTGCTTTTGCATTATATTGAAGTCTGTTAATTTGAGTTTTTATTCGTGAAAGGAAATGCTATTAGAGAAGGTAAATGAATGTATGGATCAAATTTAATATCCTGAGAATTTAAAATGCATTCAATACTTTTGTCACTAAGAAAATAGTAGATTTAGTGGGAGAATTTTGTAGAAAGGTAATGAATTGTTCCCCTCATGAAATGAAGCTCAAAAGTCACTAAATTTATCAAGCAACTCGTTCATAGCTTCTGAAAACGGCCAGAAAACCTTTTTTAGCATTATGTGAAAATGATTGATTTGTATGAAGAAGATGTTGGTGAAATTTAAAGATACATATCTATTATGTGCTCCATGAAGTTGATTTTGAATATTTTTAATTTATTTTTTAATATAAATAAATCGAACTTAGATTCACTTATTAAAGATATTCTTTAAGAAAATACTAATTTTCTTTTTTAGAAAATCACATTAAAGAGATTCAATAGAAAAGATTTAATATCTAACCTACTTTAGTATATTTGGTATACAAACCTTAACTGTGCTGAGCTTAAAAATATGTCCTTACTCAAACTCCATGCAGTATAAATGATGCATTAAACCTATATTCAACTTGTTATTACTTTTACCAAATTCAATTGTATAATTTGTAACAAAATTATTCAAGATTACAAAAGTTATTAAAAACTTATTGTTTACAGTTATTTTTTCAAACTTTTCTTACATGACAATTATATATATATAAATATATATATATATAAGTATACGACATTTTTTATAGGCAAGTATACTACTGTTATAATTTTAAAAGGAAAACTATCCAATTTTGATATAGTTTTTGATAAAAAGAAGCAAGAGCAGTTTTCTTAATTATAATTTTGTTATTTAGAACATTTTAAATGAATAAATTTTTTACATGCTTTCTGTTTTTCTTTTTAATATTACATAAACTTACTTTAATAATAACAAATATAATTTAAAAACAAATAGAGAATGTATTATTCATATTTCTTAATCTATACAAAATATAATGTTTAACATCAATTTTGAATATTATTGAATGATTTATGGGTCAACATTAAAATTGGTAAGTAAACAATACACAAAGAAATCTAATAAGATAAATCTATTTGGTTTAACTACAAAATAATATTATTCTTTTACAAAGACTATAGAGAATATGTTAGAAGTGATAATTTGAAATTTTTTTTTACAAAAGTTAACAATTAATAAAATCATTAAATATTTGACGTGATATATATTTGATGAAGATTGTTATATATGATTATGATATAAAAATATATTTTTTATATAATATATGAAAACTCAATATGTCAAACATAGATAACTAACTACATGGTTACATGAGTTTATTGGTTAAGCATTGTATAATCAGAAGCTTCAAATGAGTATGTGGATAATTCATTATTCATGTCTTAGGTGTTTAAATTATTTTGCTCCTCGATTGATGTTTATAAGGGTTAACATACTACCATGTAAAATCGTAAAAGTCTAACTATGACGTAGTTTATATTTACCGGTCATGATAACTTTAAATGTCTACTTATTATAATAAGTGTTCATTTATTATGGTAGGTTTCCAAATATCTGCTATAACACGAGAGGTGACCGAAATGTAAGGTTGATTTATTATGATATGTAATATAAAGATTTCATAAGTTGTTCTTATTATGACAGGTAAACAAGTAACTGTGATAGTAAATTGATTTTCAATTATAGGTTTTCAATTTTTTATTATGACAAATAAACAGTACAATCATAATAAGTTTGACAACTATGATTTCACAACTATGACACTCATTAGTGTAAAATTAGCATATAATTTCATGCGTTCAATGTCTAACCACTCAATAGCCAACGTTAAAAATGATCGGTGACAATTTTGTAAATAAATATAACTGTTTCGGTAGATACTTTTGTGACCGAGAGACTAACCTGCTGACGTGTCTGGGCCGCTTGCTCGCTTCCAAACTTCTGCTATTGGCCGATCAGTGTTGGCACAAACCGATCTGTCTCCTTCTTGACATGGGAGGATGTACCTGCAAAAGATACTTCGACGCTTAAGTTAGGCGTGTGATTTGGAGAGCCTCGGCTCTTAGTCGAATATTTAGTGAATGATTATCACTATTGAATATTTGAGAGTAGGGTAGAGTGGATAATGTGTAAGTGGAACGTACCTGGCTTTCGGCCCTAGCTTTGTATTTATAATTTACCTCATGGATCCTAAGCTGATATAAGCCCAATAAAATATAAACAGAATAAGATATAAACAGATTACCTGAAAATCCGGTTGGTTGTTTATAACCACTCGGTCAATATTTCATATGATACATCATGCCCCCCAAGTCCGAGTTAAGCGTTCGGTTTTAGCCGTGGTTAACTATAGGACTTATGAGTTTGAGGGAGGTTGTGTTTTGCTGTCTTGGAGAGCTCCTACCGCTCTTGTTGGTGGTTGAGGAGAGTTCTTTTTAGAACTTTTTCCATGTAAAGACAAACCGATGACGTTTTACCGCTCGTCCTTCAACATGAACCGAGAGGGATTTACCTCTCGCCCTTCAACATGAGCCGAGAGGGATTTACCTCTCGGTCTTCAACATTAACCGAGAGGGTTTTACCTCTCGACCTTCGACATTAATCGAGAAGGTTTTACCGCTCGTCCTTCAACATGAACCGAGAGGAATTTACCGCTCGTCCTTCAACAAGAACCGAGAGGGATTTACCTCTCGGTCTTCAACATTAACCGAGAGGGTTTTACCTCTCGACCTTCGACATTAACCGAGAGGGATTTATCGCTCGTCCTTCAACAGGAACCGAGAGGGATTTACCGCTCGTCCTTCAACAGGAACCGAGAGGGATTTACCTCTCGGTCTTCAACATTAACCGAGAGGGTTTTACCTCTCAACCTTCGACATTAACCGAGAGGGATTTACCGCTCGTCCTTCAACATGAACCGAGAGGAATTTACCGCTCGTCCTTCAACAGGAACCGAGAGGGATTTACCTCTCGGTCTTCAACATTAACCGAGAGGGTTTTACCTCTCGACCTTCGACATTAACCGAGAGGGATTTATCGCTCGTCCTTCAACAGGAACCGAGAGGGATTTACCGCTCGTCCTTCAACAGGAACCGAGAGGGATTTACCTCTCGGTCTTCAACATTAACCGAGAGGGTTTTACCTCTCGACCTTCGACATTAACCGAG